CGAGTCAGCCCTGACTCATAGCGACCCCTCCTTGGGTTTCCAAGGCAGTATCACTACGGAAGTAGGATTGCCCAACCTTCCTTCCGAGGAGTGGCTGGTAGGTTTGAACGGCCAGCCTTCTGGTTAGCAAGTGCCTTAGCCGGTATAGCAGTAGGACTTCTTAAATTGAAGAGAATAGCTCCCTGCTCCCAACTCAAGATGGTGTTTGGCAGGGATTTGGGATTTCACATTCTCAGTGTGTAGCTGGGGTTATTGTGGTCTTCTCTTCTAAACCAGCTTGTAGGTGTTCCCCACTTCAGCAGCTCCATTGGTCCTGGTTGCCCTGGATCAAACTCTGACCACCTTAGTGTAGCTTTCGTGGCCCTCTACAATCCTGCCCCAGTGGGCCTCTCCAGCCTTACCCCTTGCCATCATGCGGCCACACAGGTGACTCCTGCAAATGGGCCTGCACGTCCCCTGACTTTGCTATGTGGCTTCCCCTTTTTCCAGACTACTTTTGGTCTCATCCTGTGCCACTGAAAATCCTGCTACTCACTCAAGGCCCATCACGAATGCAGCTCCTCTGTGAAATGCCTTTCCTGATATCCCCAGTCAGAATTGCTCATCCATACTTATGTTTTGATCCAGAGGTAAAAAGCAATGGGCTTTTACTCTGTTTCCTATAATTTGTCCGAACCGTCCAACCCAGTTCAACTCTTCTTCTAGGAAGCCTTTCCTGATCTTTCCCTCCCTGCATAGAAATTGGTTCTTTTTCTCCTCTGAGCACCGGCTCATCGTCATTGTGGGGGTGCTGTTGCATCTCCCACATGTTATCTGCATTCTGACTAGACCGTGGGCTACTGGAATGTGGCACTTGGCGTGATCCATTTGTGAATCAGGGTCTTCCACAGAGGGGTGCTCCATAAATGTTGGTTGAATTGAATTGAGCCTCTCCCATGAGATGAATCCTCCTTGTGGGGGGTAATATACAGACAGACAGAGCTCGAGGAGCCAGGCCCCTGCTTCTCTCTGAACTTGTGTCCAGTGAGATATTTGGGTCTGAGAGGTAGCTTCAGGATTGTAAGCTCCTTGAACACAGAGTGCTGCCCCAAATACATCTGCCATCTTGCCTTTCATTTTGCAGCTTCAGAGACTCTTCTGCTCTGTGGAAATGACATGAACTCTTTCTCCTGCGATAGTGACAGCTCAGCCACCAGTAGCCCGTGTGTGCTCCAGCTGGTCCCTGGCCACCAGCTGTGGGCCAGCAAGAATGGACACCATGTCTTGGGCCTGATTGAGGACTACAATGCCCTGCTCAAGCATATTGGCCAGGGCCAGAGGCTCCTTGCTGAAATGGACATTCAAATCCAGGAAGCTCCTAGCTCCACAATTCAAGAGCTGGGAACAAAGGTAACCCAACTGACAGAACTGGTGGGAGAGAGATTCTCACTGCGCGGAGAAGAGTGGAAGGAGGAAGTAGGGCGCAAGTAGCTCAAGTACCCTTGGCAAGGCCCTGAGAAGAAGGGCCAGGCAAAGTGGCTCATGGAAGCTCTGAGGTCAGGTCCAATCTAAGGGACCATTGGACTGTTTGTTGCTTGAGGGGGTAATTCGCTGAGGTTTGTACCCTGCACTGTGGTTTCTTCATCACAATCTGCTGCACGTGCAAATGACTGCCTCTGTCTGTTCTCTCTCTGTTCATCCACCTACCCATTCATCCTTTTACCCATCTGTCCATCAGTGTGTCCATCCATTCATCTATCCATGCCCACCTATCCATGCCCATCCAGGCCTGCACACTTAGGCACTAGGGCTGCTGTGCTGAACAAGGTAGGTTCGTGAGAAGGAAATGCTCACCTACCATTTGTAATGGGCTTGCCAATATGAGATGTCCTACGTGCACCTTGGGACTGATGCTGGCTCCCATCTCTTCATGCAGAGGAGCTTTGTCTATGATGTTTTATTTCATCCTCGGGACTGCTGTGCAGTAGGTGGTATCAGTTCTGTTTTACAGATGCCAAGGTGGAACAACTTGCGGTGGTCAGGATCTGAACTTAGTTTTCTGTGCCCTCTAAGACTCTCTCTTTCTATTTTATGACACTGTACCCTGAAGGAGAATGCTGGTTATCTCAGTCATCTGTGCAGACACCATCGCTGGTCCCTGGGTAGAGTCCAGACTCCAGTTTCTAGGTCTGGCTCCAGCCTGCATCCTTCCCATCCTCTTCTGCTTTCTTACGGTTTCCTTCCTGCTCTCCTCAGTCTGTTGGCCATACCTGCCACACACAGTCTGCTCCCAGCGCTACTTCCCCTTGTTTCCTCTGGCTTGGAATACTCCTCAGCTCCTTTTCCTTCCCTTTCTCCTTGACTTATCCTGCTGGAAGCCTTGTCATGTTAAAGTCACCTTTTACTGAGGACCCATGTGCCAGGCTCTTGACTTAACATTTCTTCCTTCACTTCCTCTGACTTCCTCTGAGGCTTGGTTCACATTTCCTTTTTCCCTTCAGACTGGACCTGATCTCTGAACTTCTCTGGGCCGTGGTTTCTACGGGTCCCCTTCTCAGGTCCTTACTGAAGCCTTACTGAGCCACCTGAATCCTGATTCTCATTTTGCCTTTATGTTTTATTTAGCTTTGCTGTATTGTGAAAAACAATTTTATATTCCACTAATACTCTCTAGAGGAGCAGGGATAGTGGCTGTTTTGCACAACAATGTATATTCACTAGTTAGCACAGGATCTGGCATGGAATATGTACTTGGTAAATATTTGTTGAATGACTTAATGAATATTAATAAGATTATTGTTGTTTCTGATTATAATCTGTATGTATGAAAACTGGAAACTGGGGAAAAGCATAAAAAAGAAAACATTTATAAATAAGCTACCAAGAGGTCAACACTTAAAATTTTGATCTACTTTCAGTTTAACAAGACTAATCCATAAATCATAATCTCATATTTTAACTTTCAGTTAACATCATATTGTAAACATTTTTCCTGACTCCATTATTTTTCTAGAATTGACTTTACTGGCTACAAATGGTATGGATATATTCTCATTTATTTACTCTTTCTCTTGTCTGTTGGACATTGAAGCTGTAATGAGCGGCCACGTACCGATACCTTCCGTCACATCTTAGTTCTTTAGGTTAAATCCCTAGAAGTGAAAACACTGACTCAAAGAGTATGAACGCGTTCGGGCCCCTGGTAACTGTTACTGTATTACTTTCCACAAAGATCATTTCCCGCTAGGAGTACCTGTTTCTCTGCACTCTTGCCTTCATCAAGTTATTTTTATTGATAATGATTTTTGCCACTTTATAGCTAAAAAGGATTATGTCCCTTTATTGTGCATTACTGTTATTACTTGTGAAGACAAATGGTCTTTTAATTTTTTTTTAACTTTCATATTCTCCCTTCTCTGAGTTATGTCCTTGGCTTTTTCACGGCCCTGTCCTCCCGTCGGTTTGAGTTTGCATCTGCCAGCAGAGGGTGAGAGACTTTGTAAGGCCCTAATACCATATTTTCATTAAGCATAGAGGTTTAAAGGGACTGATGTGTGTTTGTGGGGGGCATAGGTTGCTTCACTTGATGTTGGTGTTTGCCTTCCAGAGAGTCTCCATGGGCTGCTGAGCCGTACAAATGGGTCTATCAAGGACCCGCCCCTCGGTGTGGTAAATGTAGATGACACTGGTTGTTATCAATCACGGTTATTGATTAGACTGAAATTCTTTTATAATCTGTAACTCACCAGTCTTTGAGAACAATACCTCAGTGTCATCTGGCACCATGCTCTCACTGAGCCTGTGAAACAAGCCCTACAACCTGGAGGTTTGTGCTGTCCATTAAAGCTTAATTGTCCCTGATCTTTTTTAAGACTGCATGTGACAACCTTCTCATCCCCCTGTGTAGGGTCCACACACAGTGCATCTGAGCAGGTTTGTCACCAGTGTGAACACAGCCAAGCTGATCTTGGAAGAAGCCTTGAGGTTATTGAAGCTTCTTTGGAGAGTCTCGGTCCCCACAGATGGCCAGTGCACCCATCACTGTGAGCAGGTAGGTGACACATGGATTCAGAGGGTCACAGATGCCACCGGGGACCTTTGTCTTAGTCTCCTCCATCCTAGCCCAGGGCTTGGCCCTCAGCAGCTCTCAGTTTGGCGTATGTATCAGAGGAAGGGAAGGTGTCATGTTTGTTAAGAAGGACATGCTGGGCCCTGTGTTGGCTGCTTCTCCTGTGAACTTAGCTGAGCTCCCAGCATCCCTTGAGCTCAGCCTGTGCCCTGACCTGACTGAGCCCTGCCCCAAGCACGTCTTTATTGAGTTGAGTCCTATTGTAAGGAAACTGAGACTCAGTAGTTGAGGTACTTACTCAGGGTAACAGAGCTGGTTTGGAAGCCTAAGTATCTGAACCCAAAGTTTATTCTTTTATTTTAGAAGCTTTAAGTTCCAGTTTGTCTCTCATGGATTAGCTGATTCTTCTGTACTCAGAATCCCTTTCATTTTCGATGCCTTTCTCTGGACCTTCTGATTCCTCTTGCTAGCTTTCATCACCATATTTTAGTGGGCCTTGTTCAAAATCTGTTTTCACTACTTTGGAATGACGAGCTCCGAATCGGGAGTCAGATGGAGCAGACACTGGCCTGGAGTTCTGTCTGAGAGATACATGCAGGAGGACAAGGTGGGCACCTGCTCTGCCCCTCGGAAACCTCACTGGTGGAAGGAGCGTGTAGGTTAAGAAAGAATGAGAGCTCGTGGTGTGGGGCTCTGAGAGGTATTTCCCCTCTCATTTGTCTAACTTATAAATTCTTACCAAAGGCCAGCAGGGAGGCAGAGGGGAAGTTTGCATTCTGCGTCATTACCTCATTTAGTAAACCCCTTTCGACAGCTCTCAGATCTGTAAACGTGGCAGGGAGGAACCAGTGAGGCAGTCCTCTCTGCTCTGAAGGCTCTGATTATCCTGCCCTAAGCATTCCTTCTTGGGATCCTGGAATGGATACCCTAAGCACAGGGAAGCACAAACCCAGCCCTTACACGGGAAAATCACGTTCTGTCCACTTTTAGCTGGTGGGGCCGTCAGGTAAGAGATGGAGATGTGGGGAGGAAGGGTGAGGGTTCCCTGGGTTCCAGTCTTTTCGTTCTGGTAATGCACCACGATCTTTTCCCTCTTCTCCTTTCACCTAGCCCCTCGGATTGCCTGGTATGACTGTTCTCCCCCTCCCCCAGCCCTCGACCCCACTCCTGATTGGCTGGCTCCTTCTCATCTTTCACATCTCAGCCTGAATGTTGCTTCAAGGTCAGAAAGGGTTCCCTGATCTTTCAGTAACAGCATCCTGTTCTTATGCATCATGGCCTTATCACAGGTTATAATTATGTTTGTTTAAAGTCTGCCTCCCTGTGTTTTCCCTGAGAGGACCATGTCTCCTTTGTTCAGCATTATACACCCCGTGTCTAGCACAGTGCCTGGCCCATAGTCGGTGTTAAAAACATAGCTGTGAATAAATGAGTGAATAATCTCCTACCATACCCCAAATGAGCCTCTGTCCCATACTGTTTGTAAAGCATAACGTGTCTGAACTAGACGACTGACCTTGTGTACATACATTGTCTACTGGTTCTGTCCTCAGTGCACAGTAATGTCTGTAGGCTACATGGATGGGATGCAGTTCCGGTTTTCATCTTTAGAGTCCCATTCATCCCCACTGCTTACACTCTAGTCCAGGGACTGGTCAGCGCTCATGACAATTCGCCTGTTTTTTCTGAGGATTTCTCAGGTAATTGATTATGCTCACTTTAGCATCACAGAATTTTAGAGCCAAAAGAAGGACCTTTGAGATGCTTTGCAGTTGTTGCTGGTACACACAGGCCCCCTGTGTGGTGTTAAATTGCCTCCAGCCACTTCTCTGTCACTGCCTGTGTTTCATACGGTGCCTTTTGCTTGGTGTGAAATGTGTGTAAAGCAGATTTCTGTGTTTCCATCAGCAAGCCCAATGGTTTTTTAGTACCTGGCAGTTTCTCTGAATGTCATTAATTTGCCTTTTGCATTTAATGCACAATCGCCTTGCGGTCCGAGCAGCCATAGGCCTGTCCTGGACAGTGTGTATCATGTGCCTCAGTTTATCCAAGGAAGTTGTTGGAGGTGGGAGTACAAATAAATACATCTACTTGCTTGACATAATTTTAAAAAAATGGGAGGATGACTAGTAACAATATAGTTTATGTAGAGGAGTGGGAGAAAAGAGGATAGCAGGGATGGGGCGGGAGCCGGGTCTCTCTGAAGAGAGCTTGTTTTATAGATTCGACCTGGAAACCGTGTAAGTGCTCTATATTATAAGTAAAAATAAATCAAAATGGGAAAAAGTACAGTTTCTAAAAATTGACAGCAAGATGGAACGAACAAACCTTACTGTATAAATACTGGAGACATAACCATGCAAAAAGGATATATTTCAGTGACTCAGACACAGTAATTTGACTGTCCATCCCTAGTACAGTAATACCGTATGGGCAAAAGCAACTCCAAAGATAATGAAACTATTTTCAGCGATCATATTGTTAGTGGAAATATTGGAATCGACATTCTGAAACTTCTTATCATAGGATAAAACAATCGGTTATGTTAATTTCATTAGTAACTGAGATTTCACTGTAAGAGAAAAGAGGTACAAATATAAAATCAAAGATGTTGGTTAAGACCCTAAATTTGAATTCGAAATAACAGCATGACCACATGATTTGTTTTCTTTTACAGAAAATTTACGCTGTCTAGCCATTAAACATTTTTAGAACGAACGCCCAATCTAGTACGATAGCACCCCTAGCACCGAAACCGTGGTTTGTTTTTCCCATTGAAAGGAACTAGGACTCCTTGGAGAAAGAGCTTGATTCTAGGTCTGGTGCAGAAAATGTATAATGTGAGTTGGACCATCTTCTAATCCTAGTAAGAAAAGGGGGACGGGTTAGAGGGAGGGGAAAAAGAGGGAAGAGGCACCTGTGGATTCACCGTGGTTCTGAGAATCTGGAGGCTGGGCCGCAGCATAGCACTTCCTGAAAGTCTGTCAGAAATGCAGATTCTCGGGCTCCACCACAAACCTCGTGAGACAGAAACTCACTGACTGCTGCGGGGCCCCGCAGTCTGTTTCTATGAGCCTCAGGGTGGCTTTGAGAAGCATTGGATTACAAGAAATTTAGGAATACCTCAAGCAGATGTAAAGCGTTGAGCTTATTTGGATCCTGAATCAGACAAACCAATTGTTTGAAACAATAGAGTTGTGATGCAACCAGGGGAATGTGTCCACTGACTACCTATTTGGTGGTACTAAGAATAATACTTGAATAAGGAAGACCAAAGAAGTAATGAGTCTGAATTACGGTATTGGTGAAGAATATGGAATATACCATGGACCGCCAGAGGCGTGAACAAATCTGTCTTGGAAGAAGTACACCCAGAATGCTCCTTAGAAGCAAGCGCGGTGCTTGGTTCATGTTGTCAGAAGGGGTTAGTCCCTGGAGTCGGATATCAAGCTTGGTGAGGTAGAGTCAGCTAAGAAGGGGAACACACGTCAAGGAGATGGACTGACGCAGTGCTGCAGCGATGGGATCAAGTACGGTGAGGATTGTGAGGACAGCCAGGACTGGGCAGTGTTTCTTCTTTGGTAGACACGGTCACTATGAGGTGGAACCAACTGGATGACACCTAACAACAAAAGCAACAACAACAAGGGTTACTGTCTTTTTTTTTTTTGGTGATATTGTGGTTATGTTTTTCAAAATGAGTCTTTTTCTTCTGGAGATGAATACTGAAATATTTTATAGATTAAATAATATGATTAACTTCTAGGATTTTCTTCAGAATCCTCGGGGACACAGGTGGGCATGAATATATAGATGAGCCAAGGTTGACCATGACTTGATAATTGCTAAAGCTGGAGGGTAACCTGGGCACTTGCTACTTTTTCTCACTTTACTTTTGTAAATGTTTGAGGGTTTTCATTGTGAAAAAGAAAACAAGGGAGAAAAAAACCGCAGCTGTAGCAGTCAGACTGGAATTGAACGCTGATGAAGTTGGAGGCCTCCCAGGAGGGGCATGGCCCCCAGCCCGGCGCAGGGTGCTGTGGCTCTCAGTGAGATTTGTTTCGGTCAGTGCCCGTTGGGTGTCAGGCACTCTGCTATACACTTAGCATCTCGTTTCATCCCTCACAGTAACCTCAGAGGGTTAGGTATTACTCCTTTTCTTTTTTTGTTTTAGAAGTAGGAACTGAGGCTACAAGAGGTTAAGTAACTTTCCCCCACATTATACAGCTAGGAATCGACAGCTGGGCTCTGGAGGCCCTGCTGTTTTTACTATCATATATTCGTCCTGGAAAAATGAAGGTTTTAATGCAGTGAAACAGCAGATGCATAAATATTTAAAATTCCTCATGTTAAGTGCTGGGTAGAATAGGGACAGGGTGCTAGAGCGCAGATGAAAGTTAACCCACCAGCGGACAGACGGTCTCGCGGCACCTCCTCTGTGCCAGGCCCTGTGCACGGCGCTGCTGATCAAAAGCAGGGAATGATCTCTGCTCTGAAAGAGTTTGTCGTTCAGTCGGGGGAGCAAGCCAGTCAACAACCAGTTATAATCCGCTACGTGGGCAATGATGGGAGAAGCACTGGGCACCCTGGGGGTCCAGAGAACCAGTAGCTAACCTAGACTCTGGTGGGGAAGGGTCTCAAGGAAGGCTTCTTGGAAGAGGCGGCCCCTTAGCTGACTGTAGAAAGAGGAATACGGCTTAGCTAGGGAGTGTGGGGAATAATCACTTCGGAGCCCTCAGGCACCATCTTGCTGAGTCTGACTCTGCTGCAGTGTGGTAGATGGGTCAGGGGTTGTCACCCCTACTGTGCAGGTGTGGAACTGAGGCTGTCAGTGCAGACATTTTGTCCTAGAACGTGTGGTCTTTGGAGCCATGACTAGTGTAATTAGGATCTGTTTTGAAAGAACAGTTGAAATCCTTGTACCTGACACGACTGGTTAGTCTTAAAAGTAGGTTAAAGGAGGGAATCAAAAAACGATGCATACCTTAAACATTTTAGTTTCGCTTAAAACCGATAAACGTACATTCATTTGCCATTCTTTTGATGTAGGTCCGGGGCCTTTTCTTTGACTGTGAGTCTCCTGACTGGAGTTCACATCTTCTTTCTTTCATAAACTGCATCCATAATGTATGTCTGTCACTTCCAATTTCTGGTTCTTTAAGATGAAGAGAAAACTTAGACACTTGCAATGCTGTTTGAGTAGAAGAGCTCCTCTGGCCTCTGCTCCTCCCACATCTTTTATCGTCGACTCTCCCACACCTCCTTTGCCAGAAATGTGTTTTTTCGTGACTTGCCTTTACATTGTCTTTCTGAAGCATATGTCAGTTTTCATATACTCAGTTCTCTCTTTTCATACACTTAGTTCATGGCTTTACTTAATATTTGATTAAATTATGTAATTTAATTACAGATACAACTGCCATAAACAAGTTTGGGAACCACCTAAAGGGACTGTTGGTAAACTGACAGCCCACCATCTCACCTCTTAGGAGAAGTATTTCAGTGCAGCAGAGAGTGACCTGTGCTGGGGCATCAGTCGGCATGTTTCACGGGGGCGGGGTTGTCCTTCCCCTGTGAGCTGGTTCTGTGGAGACTGGTGGGGAGAGTCCCTGCAGTGTGTGCGTGCCATCTCAGAACTGTACAGCTCCACTGCCACCCACACTCTCCTTGCCTCTGAAAATTCCATGCAGGTCCCCCAGTGCATCATACCCACTGCCATCGAGGGGATTCCAACTCATAGCGACTCCCATCGGGTTTCCAAGGCAGTTAAAAGTAGATTGCCCCATCTGCCTGCCACAGAGTGGCTGGTGGGTTTGAACTGCCAGCCTTCTGCTTAGCAGTCAGATGCCTTAGGCACTGTGCCACCAGAGCTCTTTAGTGCAGCATATTCTCCTAATAATGCTTTTGTCATCTCTTTTTCAAATTTGAACATTAAAGCTTGTTTTAAACTAGCATTACAGTTTTTATAAAATAGCAAGCAATTCAGATAATTTTTGAAAAATGAAAAGGATAGTATCCCAGCTCACATCTCCTGGAGGTAATCATTGTTGACATTTTCAGGACCTCTCCATGTCATCACACTTTTCTGGACAGCTTGATAGGCACGTCCCTGACTAGAGGCAGGTATCTTGAGGTTCATGAAGCAGGAGTACCTGGCGTACAGGCCATGTTGTGTGGGGCTCTTTTCACCCGCGGTCTTCCTTCCATGTCAGCAAATACACAGCTCTCCATCATCCTTTTTAATAGCTATAAAATGACTCTGTTGTTTGTAAGCAGTGTCACTTATTTATCTAGGCCCTTCCTGAAACAACTCAGTTTCTTTTTTGCTACCACAAACCTCCTTGTGCACAGGCGTCTTCTTGTGCTCGTGCTGTTTATTATTCTTGGATAAATGCCAGAGTGTAGAATTGTGGGGTCAGACTGTAAGCAGGGTGCCACTGGCTGGACCCTAACAGTTTTCAGTTCCCTGGCAGTCCCGGGAGTCCTTTTGCCATACCCCCACCACCACGGGATTTTGTCCGCTCAGGCCAGTCTGATCAAAGAAAATGGCATCTAGTTTTTATTCAAATGTCTTTATTAGTGAGTTTCAGCATCTTTATATATATTTTTATAATTCCTAGGTGATAAGGTATTTTATATTCATTTTTTGAATTCCTTTTCTTTTTAGGTTGGAGACATGAAGGCAGAGATCACCAAATTACAAAAAAAATTGTTTGAACAAGACAAGACGTTGCAAAACACCACCAAGCTCTTACAGCTGAGCAAGCACCAGGAGAAAGTGATCTTTGACCAGTGTGAGTGAGGGTGGGCTGGAGGGCGACCACCTTGTCCGATCACCTCTGGTCCCATTAGCAATTATGCCCACACCGTCTGTCATCTTCCTCCCATTTGTGGGTTTTTTTTTCATACTTATCCTTTCTGAATGGCACAGACAAATGTATTCATTTAACAGACCTAGGTGGAGGGGCCACTTGGTGCCAGGGGGTGTTACCTTTCTCAGGAGACAGGTGCCTGGGCCGTGCAGTGATAGGAAAGGGTGTGAGGTCATGGGAGCATGACAGGGAAGTAAGGTAGGCATCACTGTGTCGGGAAGGTGGGCCTCTTGGATGAGGTGACAGCTGAGCTGAGTATGAAAGGAGGAGTGTTCCACAGAAGGACAGTGTTCATCTGGGCAGAGGGAGCAGCATGGACAGAGGCCGAGAGGCAAGGAAGAAGGTTTTGTATGTGAGGAGCTAAAGCAGGTCATGTTGGTGGAGTAAAAGCTGCAGGTGGTACGTTGAGGTGGGAGGGGCTGGGGGACCAGGGACTGCATCGTGAAAGGCCTCCTGTGGCAGGTGTGCCGGGGGAGGGCTGCATTTAGAGCAGAGGATGGTCCTGCCTCATCTGTGGGTGAAAAAGGCTCACTGGGGGCCACCCCACTAGGAGGCTGATTCATTATTTCAGTAAGAAGGTGGCCTCAGCCGGGACATTGGGGTCAAGAGGAAGGAATGGGTTTGAGAACTGGTTGTCAAGACAGATACAGAGACTTGGATTTACAGAGGTTAACTCGCCCTGGTAAGGTCAGCCCCAGCTCTGCTCTGGATGCTTCAGAGACGGTTTGGAGCAGGTCCGTTGCCCTGCTTTCAGCCCTCAGCCCTCAGTCATTGGGCGTGTAGAGCAGCAGGCAGTAGTCGGGTTTATGTTAGTGCCTTTTGTCAGCACGGCCCAGGCCAAGCCTCACAGTTGTCCATGTGTCAGTTTCCCTGTCTTAGGAGAACTGCCAACTGTAGCACTTCCCCTCCGGAGTGCAAGCCTGCCCAACGCTGCTCTCTTATCAAAGTCAAACGTTTCTGGGGCATTTCTGAGAAGTACAGAGCATACATTATTGTCAAGTAGGAGTTCTCCTTAGCCACCCTCTTGGGAACCTGCTGAAAATGGACTCTGTGAGACTGGCAGAGTTTGAATTGCAGAAGAGAACTCAGTTCCTGCCCCATGACCCCAGGCCAGGCTCTGAGGACAGAGGTGAGTGAGACAGTTCCTGCCAGCACAGAGCTTCAGCTTAATGGGAAATGATTTGCCAAGTCAATTCCAGGCAGCCTAAGAGGTGGTTTAGGGCACTGGGCTGATTGGGTCTTGAAGGGTAAGTAGGAGTTAGTCAGTTGGTGCAGGAGGCAGGGGGAACAGGATCCTGGCAGAGGGCACACTCGCAGAGGTGACAGAGAGCTGAGTGTTCAGGGATGTGCTCACAGATAACGTGAGGGGGATAAGGAGGGACCAGGTCACAAGGGGCTCTGTGGACCAGACTCAGGAGTGAGCAACAGGGAGTGACATGGTCCACTGGCGTGTTAGAAGGTTCCCGTGGCTGAACATGGAGGCCTGGGACTCTGGGGAAAGTTTTTCAGGCCTGCAGCAGGCTTCCAGGTGCAGTGATGAGGCTGGCGGGGCTGGGCCAGGCCAGGAGGGGGGTGGGGCGTGGTTTAGAGAGACAGTGAGAAGGTAGACCTGGCAGAGTGGTAGGTGTCTGAGGGGTCTGACAGGCCTAGGGGTTCATGACACTTGTAGAGAAGGACATACTGGGGACTGGAGGGCTTGGGGAAAGATAGTGCCAGACTTGGATGTGTCTGAAGTAGTGATAGAATATTCCAGCTTGACTGTTGGAGCAACCAGGGGGATGATGGGAAGTGAGGCTTCTGTGCAGTCATGACTTTATAAAAATCACCTCAGTTGCCTCATCTGTGAAATATGGTTGATAATGGTACTAACCTCTGATACGTTTAGCACAGTGCCTGCGACAAAGAGATGCTCAACGAATGTTAGCTTTCTGCCTCTTTCCATTATGTCACACTAGATCCTGTGTATGGGGGTGCAAACCATTAGTAGAAAAACAACACACATCTCATAGCATTTCCCATCCATGTAAACGGCTGTCACCTGTCTCTGCATCTATGAGGCACTGGATGGAGCAGGCTTGGCTTGGGGGTGAGGGGCTTGCCCCAGGTCACATAGCCGGTGGCTGGCCCGGCCCTGTCACCTCCTCTCCTGTGCCAGGCCAGTCTCACAGGTCCATTTCTGGCTCTAAAGAGACTAAGTGAAAGTGCATAGTGTTCCCTCCTCCCCCATCCCTGCAAGGTGACATAGAAGAGCCAGGGCCAAGGGCTGGTCCCTGTATGGGACAAGCTGAATACCATGTCTCCTTCTAGGGTCTACAGGGGAAGGTAAGGAAAGGGCATCATGACCTTGACCTGGAGCCACGGGCTTTACTCCAAAATGAGGACTAAAGCCTATGCCGTAGGGCTGCAGGGACTCCGTGAGGTCCCAGTTCTAAGTGACTTGTCACCAGGGGGACACCACTCGGAGAGTGTCCTCTTTGCCAGCACTCTGCTGAGGTAGAAAGAACCCTGGGTTTGGTGGTAAAGACCTGGTTGGGCCTGTATGTGCAGTGGGGCAAGTCTTGATTTGGGACAAGTTCTCCACTTCTCTGTCCCTCATCAGTGGGAATTTCTTTGCTTTGGAACTTGGGCAGTGCTGTTTGGTGTAAGGTCCATCTATCTAATTCACAGGTTGCGTTTCTCATTTCCTAACTTAGACCCCATGTTCCTTAGCTCTTCTACTTGAGTTTTGTTTTTTAGGTATATTGAATGTGTCTCAAAATTGTTTTTAGCCTCCACATTTGTGTTGTTTTTCTGGGTCAACCGCAAAGACAGCTATGGTCTTTTGCCCCAGAATAAAGCATACATCTGTATACACCTATAGGCTTGTACATAGTTTCCAGGGACTTAGGAGCCCCCAAAGCATATTCACAAGGAGCTCTGGTGACTCGGTGGTTAACGCATTTGGCTGCCAATGGAAAGATTGGCGGTTCCAAACCACCTGCCGTTCAGTGGAGGAAAGATGAAGCAATAGGCTTCTGTAAAAGATTCACAACATTGGAATCCCTATAGGGCAGTTCTACTCTGTCCCCTAGGGTCACTGTGAGTCAGAGCTGACTCGATGGTAGTGGGTAGGTAAAGCCTACCTCCAGCCCTTGGTTAAGAAGCTCTGCCCTGGAGCAGGCAGTGAGGGTGCAGGGAGCACAGAGAAGCAGCGGCGGCCTCTGCAGTTCATTTGTCCAGTTACAGACAAAGCCCAAACCTCCCGTCGCTCTCCCCGGTGCCACAGATTGCAAACAGACTTTGTTACCTCCAGACAGAAATTTTTGTGAGGCAAGAAATAAATATTTTCTCAAGGCTGCCACATGGCACCTATTCTGAAGAAGCCACTGGGGAGTTGGTGGAATTGGGCTGAGTGTGTTGGAGGCTGGGTCAGTTTCAGCCTTCGGCACTGTTGGCCAAAGGCCCGGTTCCGGAGGCCTTGTGTCTATCCCTATGTGGGGAGTGAGCTGGATTCTTGGGCCCCACCCAGCCCTGCTTAGAACAGATCCCTGACCAGCCTCAGAAATCTGTTTGGTGGTGGCATTCCGGCTACTGTTGGAGTTTGTGTTGGGGAAAAAAAAAAAAAGACTGAGGGACGAAATGACCTTCCTTTGCAGTTGCTCTCCTGAAAGACTGGGCATGCCTGTCTCTCCCCTTGAATTCTGATTTGCTGAGGACCTGCCCAGCATACAGCTCAGAGGGCCCAGGTGGGCAGGGACCTCTGAAATTACCCCATCCATTCCCTCCCATCCAGGTGGAAGGTGAGTTGCCCAGGGAAACCACGTTGGGCTTTTATACCAGTTAAAGGGCAGACTAAGGAGAAGGAAAAAAAAAAAAAAAAAGCCCACAATTCCTTCCCCCAGGCCACAAGGAGCCTGCTCGAAGAATTGATGTAAAATCGTACTCTACGAACTGCTCTCCACTCTTGACTTAGGCCTTCAGTGATGTGTTTGCTTGGAACAGGGCACACCCCCTTCACAGAAGGCGTAGGACTGATATTGGTCAGGTGCTAGTTGGGCATAAGCTTCCACCCTGTCCTCCACCTTCATCCTCCCAGGCCCCGTGAAATACCCTAGACGTGCCTGGGGTCCAGGGAGCCGTGTGAAGCCTCGGTTTTGTCTTCTACAGCATGGGGTCGTGCACTCTACCTTCTGTAGTGCCGTGAGGTTGTGCCTAGCCGTGGCCTTGAAGAGCTGTATCTGTCCCGCTTTTTCTTCTTGAGATGGAGTATGTGGTCCTGGGGCATGTGACGGCACAGGGGAGCCTTCATACTTCTCTTTGTCTGAGTGCATTGCGGTTGCCACACGTCTGTACCCTTTGGGGCTGAGGCCTCCTCCCTGAACTTGCCTCTTTTGCGCTCTTCCTGGACACATGTGTTTTAATCATCTCATTCTCCATTCTCTCCACAGTGGTTGTAACCCACAAAATCCTTCGGAAAGCCAGAGGAAACCTGGAGGTAGTGCCTCTTTCTCTTTCTTGGAAGCCATTTGGAGATTGGGAGGGTCGCAGGGCTGAAAGGACTTCTGACAAATTAAGTGGAAGGTGAAACCTGTCCATCTCTCAATTGTGCGTGAGAAATTTCCTCTTATCATCAGTGATGGGTCTATGTTTTGATTGTTCATGCTCCTTTTATAAGTAAGATACACAGTGAACAGTGCCTGGCACTTAGTAGGCTTTTGATAAATGATTTCTTGAATGGATGAATACAAAATGACCTCATTGAAAGCAGCTTAAGGATAATAATCTTGCCTTTACCTGTCAGAGTTTTACTCCAGAAGCCCTCCATTGGACCTAAAATTCTCCTTTTTTTTTTCTTTCTTCTCCCTTTCGCCAGCTCCGGCCTGGGGGTGCCCATCCAGGAACGTCCAGTCCTAGCAGACCAGGCTCCTGAGGAGAACTGCAGCCAATAAAGCTAATGGTTCTCCCACTGAGCCCTCTCGCCTTGTTTGTTACACATTGTGGTTCCTGTTTATTGTGGGAAAAAGGGCCGCCTGGACAAAGAAAATCTATTTTTCTCATAATGTTTTCTGTCGTGAAGTCAGTTTAAGGGTGGTTGTAAAGCACGGTTTCTGAAAGGCTTTGAGCTTTCCGGGGCTTTGTGTTTTGGAGCTTGAGCAGGTCCCTGAGTCCAGGGCGCTGTTGCTGGTCGGTGTGCAGGCGGCCTGTTTGCCCTGGACTTGCTTGGTGCTTGGCCAGCTTGGCCGGCTCTGCGCTTAGAAGATTCTGATTCATTTCTAATGGTTCGTTCCATTTCAACTTGGTTCTGTGGTTGTTTTCTGGGGACCTTCAGAGCCCAGGTCCCAAACTCCCACATGGGACTGACCAGGCTCTCGGGAGCCCCTTACCCTCAGACAGTGCTCTGAGCCCTCGCTGCCAAGCCCGGTCAGGACCCCCGAGGGGAGTGACTCTCCGTGCTGCATGGCCAGTAGCCCAGTGCCTGCGGCAGACATGTGCTCAGCATCTCTCAGTCCCGTTGCCTGGCAGCCCTCTGAGGTGGTGCCTTGCTCAGTTCAGGAAAGAGCACAGTGAGGCCAGAGCTGGACTTGGCATTTGTCGTTGCCCTGGTGGTGATAGCGATGTGGCCACTCAGCTGTTCCCATTGCTCCCCGTGGCTTTGCTTGGTACAGCCCTGCCGTTGACCTTTGTGTTTGCGTATCCTTCCCCTTTGCTCAGAGCTAAGCCTTGTTTGCGGATGAAGAAAACGAGGCTCAAGACTGGTTCCCATGAGAAACAATGACAGAAATGGGACTCCATGGCCATGCCTTGACCTGACCCAGTGCTGCCTCACTGCCCTGCCCCCGGCACACAGATGTCTCATAGCAGGCAGCAGCTGGCCAGACGGGCTCCATGCAGCCCTCAGAGTCCACAGTCAGGAGCGTTTTGAATCCAGGCTCAGCCTCGCTCTCTAATCCCACTCCTCCAGCCATCATTCTTGGGGGACATCATGGTCTGTTTGGATGACCCCTCAGTTTGCCTTCTCTCTGAAATAGTTTATTCTGACATGTCACCCTCTGACCGTGACCTCCTCTGGCTCCCTTGTCCCCGTCTCTTTTCCAATCCCTTGGAAGTTCTGGCCTCTAGGTCCCTTGACCTTTTTCTCTGCCCATCAGTTTCTTTCTCGTCTTCATTTCCTTTCTCATCAAGTTTCTCTTAAGTCTTGTTTCCCTCGCCCAAACCCCTCCACTCTGCACCAGTTAAGGTGTTCAGAAAAATCATACACCTGACCAGGATGCTCTCCTGCCCCAAACACTTAGTGGCTTCCCCTTCCTCTCACATACAAGTCCAGACTCCTGACAGGTTTACAGGGACCCTGAGTCTGGCCCCTGGCAGCCCCTCCGGCCCCCTCTCACCTCCTCGCGCTCCGTGCTCCGGGCAGACTGATGCTCTTCACTGGAGGGCCACACTCGCCTTCCAGCCCTGGCTGTGATGCCCCCTTTCTCACATGCCCCTCTGACTCTGGTTAGCTTTCCGTGTTCTTTCAGAAATCCTCTCCTGACCCCTGATATGGATGAAGTGCCCTTCCTCCCTGCTCCCATACCCCCATGCTCTTGGTTTGTGAGTAGTCCTCCTCCACTCAGCTAAACTCCCGGAGAGCAGAGTCTTGTGTTCACTTTACCTCTTGCCCTTGGCCCAGGCCTTGCACGTGGGTGGTGCTTGGTAAACAGAGCTGAGGAACCAGACCAGGCCCTGCCTTCAAGTCTTTCCATGGTTGTGACAACTCTACTGTTCAGTCCAGTGTGGTTTACAAGCACCTTCACCACAGTGCCTCTCTGGAGCCCGCCAATGCCCAGGTGGGACTGTAGGGGTGAAGATGTCCCCTGTATTCGTGGCAGCCTGAGTGACTTGTCTAAGCACCCCCCCCCCCTTGGATTTGACAAACAAATTTATTTTCCTACAGTTTAGGAGGCTAGAAGTATGAGTTCAGAGTGCCGGCTCTCAGGGAAGACTGACTGACTGACTGACTGACTCTCTGTCTCTCTCTCTCTCTGTCTCTCTCTCTCGTTCTTAGGAGGATCCCAGCATGGGCACCCTTCATCTAAGGCTTTGCATAGTAGAGCCAGGCGTTGATCCCTCTTTTCCTAGGGTGATTTGAGGTGAGCTTGTGTTTGGGTCAGCTGCAGGCCTAGAGAGTGGAGGGTCAGAAGCCCCGGCTCAGAGTCAAGGGAGCAGCCCCTCATCCTAGTTACCCCACTTCTCTGCCTCTATTTCCCCCGTCTGCTTAGTGAGGGTCTGGGGCATGTGGTCAGTCAGGAGGACCCTCAGCGTGGGATCCTGTCGTCAGTGCTCTCCTTGTGAGAACTGTTTGCATGGATGCACCTCATTTTATACCTGCTGTTCTGTGAAGATTCACATGTAAGCATAAGGTAATTTGTAGGTTCCCTTTTCAAGAAGGGAGTTCCTCAATGGAAGCTCAGGTCTCTGTAGGAAATGGTTCAGCACTGTATTGTGGGTGGAGCAGGAGGCCAGGGTTCTCATCCCAAATCTCGTGCCACTGTTGGCAGTCTCTACATCTGTCAAATGGGAATTACCTTTCTGCCAGGCCCAATGAGAGAGTTCTCAGGAGACTCAAAATTTGGAAGTAGCTGAACATTAAGACCCTTTCCAAAATTAATGAATGTTCTTCAGTTTCTCTCAGCAGCTGTTCTCGAGCAGGTCTTTGAAGTTCCCATGGCTGATGTGCACGTGTGTGTGTGTGTGTGTGTGTGTGTGTGTGTAGGCTGTCTGACATAGTTTAAAGCTCAGGTTTGGGAGTCAGACCTGGATGCTAGCCCACACCTTTCCTTAATAAACCTCCGTGGACAGGGACCAATTCTGTCTCCTTCTTTTGTGGTGTAGTGGGTAAGGCATTTGGCTGCTATCCAGAAGGTTGGTGGTTCAAATTCACCAGCATTCACAGGAACAAGATGGGGAAGTCTACTTCCCTAAAGGTTTACAGCCTTGGAAACCTAGTGGGGGTTGCCATGAGTCAGAATTGACTCGATGGTGGTGGGTTTTCTCCCCCCCTTTGCAATAGTGAGGCTATTACATGGGAATAGTCCCACATGGGAATGGACTTGGTCATTGGCAAGGGCCTGAGTGGAAGGGTTTTGAGGGGCTGTCTACTTCTGGTCCTGGTGTATCCCAGGACTTTCTGCTCTTAACCCCATGTGTGCCTGGGAGCAGGGCCTGAGCAGCAGGGAGCTCCGGGGCCCCTGTTGGCTCCTTACTGCAGTTCGTCCACAGCTATCAGGATCACGGGAATCCCCAAAGCAGAGTGTGCTTTTATCCCCCATTTTAGAGTTGTGTAGAAACAGTCCCAACCTGGGACTCTCTCTGAAGGCCCTTCCTATGCTCAGAGGTGGGGGAGCAGCCGGTTTGTTTGGGCTCCTGGATGAGGGCCAAGAACAAACTGTAAATAAGGACAATTTGGACCTCAAGAAAAGCTCCATTGTCCCTGGTGAGTTAATTTTACCAGCAGCTGAATTCTGGAGACTCTGAAGCAGTCAGTAATCAGAAAATGCGTCAATTTCCCGTTGGTGAAATTAATCACCACATGTGCCTGAGGAGTAGCACCTGAGAGAAACAGCTGCAGAAGCTAAATGTATAGAGAGAGAGGAGGAGGCACACGGCCTCCTGCTTGCCCAGAGCCGCTGGGGCACCACGTTGGGAGTGGGCTTTGGTCTGCCTCCCAGAGGAGTCCCACTGGCCCTCTTCTCTGTTTGAGCACTAATGGCAAAATCATGGTCCCTCTAGGCCAGCATCCCCACTGTGTATCAACAACCCACAGCACCCCACGTGTTTTACAAATGAGAAAACCAAAGAGTGGGGAGTGACATGAGTGCTACTGGAGACATGATGTGAACCTGAGTCTGTCAGAGTCTGCTCTCTGAACCTCGAGTTTCCTCTCTTCCCAGAGGACTGTCTTTTCCAAATACTGCAGCCCTTTCTTGCATTACACACCAAAGTATTCTCACCCTGCCCTTTTCTACAAAACGTCCCTGGGTGAGCAGGGCAGGCACTCAGAGACCCACAATTGAATTCCTCGCCACGGCAGCTGGAGAACTGCCTGTGAATGGCCCATGGACAGAGAAAGACGGATCTTGTTAATAAGTTCTCAGCATTGTGGAGGCAGAGAAATGCCTGTGGGAGCCTGGCCCTGCCAAATTGCCTCTTCAATCTTGGCCATATTTTAAGTCTAACTCAAAAATTCAATTATCAAAATTAGTCATCCCGTCTCCTGAGCAGCCCAGGACTCTCTCAGGGGCCAGAGGTGTTTGCCTCTTGACGCAGGTGGGAGCTACACATCACACGCTCCTGGGAGACCCAGCATCTTGCCCTGGCTCTCGGGCGGGCAAGAACCTAGCCTCAGTTTCCTCCTCTGTAAAACTGTGAGATGTGGGAAGATGAAGGTAGATGATGGGCTGTGCGGCCGCTGGGGCTGGCTTGTGCGTTCATCTCCGTGAAGGTTCTGCCTAAGGCCGGCTGCAAATACTAGAATGACCTTTGACGTGTCCTCCTCCCTCACCTTGCACATGCCATCATGATCATGGCCACTTTATCTTCCCAAGGTCATCCACCTTGTTCATCTCCACCACTGCCTTGGTCTAAGCAACCATTGTTCTTCTCCTGGACCACTTACTGCTACAGTTTCCCAGTTGGCCTCCTCACATCCCCTCCTAACCCCTCCCTGCAGTACAGCCAGAGCAGCTAGAAAGAAAAAAAGTTGAGTGTATTATCCCTCTGGCTTCACACTGTGAATGCTTCCCATTGCACTTAGTGTGGCCCTTAATGTATTGAGACCTGCTCATTCCTTCAGTCTCCCACACACAACTCCATACTGCAGGCATACTGACCTTTCCTTCCTTTCGGGCCTCAGGGCCTTTGCACATGTTGCTCCCTGCCTAACATACT